ATCACCAACATAAAACAATCACTAATATGTTACTGGTATCAATACTCTGAAATCCTGACTTTTGATCCATTTTACATATTCAGTTGTTATTATTAATCAAAATAAAAATTATTTTTATGACTTTTTTGCAAATTAACCTACCATTAAATAGTATTGCACAGACTGAATTTCACAATCTGTGTTAAAATAGTTACTAACGGATAAGACTGAAGAATATTGTAAATGGTATGTCACTTACATACTGCATTTTTCTGAATGAATTTTGACCGCTTCAGATTTACAAATGAAGGAAACTCTTAATTCCTGTCATTTGTCCAAGTCTAAATACTGTCAAGCTGATAAAAACAAGTTGTGCAGAGTGAAGGATAGATTTAAAATTCAGATTGTTGAGCAGCCTTGATAAACTCTATGTCTAAATAGTGACCCGTTGATAGTACCTGCTGCAAAACGTGTGCACAAATGTAACGTTTTTGAGGAAAAGTGTTAAATACAAACAGAAGCACGCTTGCTGACATTGACAGTGAAATATCAATATACAGAAGTAATCACTAGTCCTACAAAATATAAAATGTCATCATTTTTTTGCATAAAACCTAATGTCTTGGCACTCAAAGAATGGCTGTAGACCTTACTACTTGCACTGGATAAAAATCTTATGTGAGTTTATAATCTACAGCTATTCCTATTAGAGGTGTTTGTAATAACTGCCAGAACCTGATGGAGCTCCCTGAAATGGCACATCTGTGTTTTAAAAAAAACCTTTGGAGGACTGATTTTAAAATTTTGTTTATTTGTGCTTAAAATGTGCAAAGGTACCCAGATAAGCGAGATGCAGAGAATATGGAAATCCTATTAGCACTTCTGCACACAGTTCTGGCACAGTTTAGAATCAATGCTTGCCTCCTAATATAAAAGAAAATAAGTTAATCCAGTGTCTTCACCTGCTTTGTTGTTGTTATTTACAATATTTCAGCTCTTACATACTTTATAATTATGTAATAAATTTAATGCAACAAGTGTGACTTGCTGTCTTACTAATTTTGTATACCTTCATTTTTGTGTTTTAGACTTTAGATAGTTAGACTTTTAGTCTTAGGTTTGCTGAAAATTTAAAAAAAACAGTAAAAAGTTGAGAGTGTTGCAGGTATCCGGCAAATCCAGATCAGTCCCTATATTTTGACGACCGAATGTTGAGGAACCCAAAGAAGCTGCTTTTGTTTTTCTCAGTAAAAGCTAAGTGTTTCCCCTGCAAGTTTTTTTCCCTTCAGTATTTCCGCAAACTGAAGGAAGTTCCTATTTGCTTGTGGATCGTGTTCCAAATGAAAAGCCTTGTACTTTTTACCTTTGTCTAGTTTTGGTTTGTTTTGTGGTTTTAGGAATTTTTAAATCTCTGCATTCAGTGTAATGAATATTTTATTGTTGTTTTGATGGAAAAATGTTCTCAAAGTCTGGAGAAGTTTGTTTCTCTCAAAATCATCTATTGCACTGTTACAGGATTCTTTTTGGTGGTGGCTTCTCCAAAAGTTTAAGGTATAAATTAGTTTCAAGCATTCTTAGATCTGTTATTATCAAACAAATAAGCTCCATGTTCTGCAAGTCCAAAAATGCAACTGTTTTACTGATTAAGCTCAACTGCATCAAGTGTAGGCCCAAGACTAACTTTTCATGTAACTTTAAAGAGCAGTAGTTGAACATATGAAGAACTAATTTAGTTAGCAGGTTTATACCACGAAGCTTAAAATAAACGTTTAGACCAAACTGACTGTTTATTTTACTTTGCTTACTTTGTGTAATGGTGCTGGGATTTATAAAAGGTATGAGTTTGGAATATTTAGGTTAAGAACATAAATCAAAAGTGTATGGATTCTGTTACCTCAGGTGATCACTATGTTCTTTATTAAGAAGAGAAGTAAAATATTCATGTGGCAGGAGACTGTGATTATGTACACTGGCTTTGATTCAGTACAGCACTTAGATTCCATCTTAATTGTTGGCTGATAGACTTAACATATGCTTCAAATAATGCGTGTTCTTAAGTGCTATTCCGAATCAGGAACTACTGCAATATACTGGAAAAAAAATATATCTGTTAATACATTTAGAAGAAAAACATATTGGAGTAAGAGGTGGAACTAATTTAAGAATATGTGTTTCAGTGGTATTCCTTTGTGTGGTCAATGCCTCACATCATAGGATAGATAAACATGAGCTTTAATAATGTCATGTATCCATATATTAGCACACAACTATATCTGAATTTACACTGATACCTTTTTCCTGATTTTTTTCCCCTTTGAAGCCTAACCAAGAAGATCAAGACCACTTATTTGACAGAATTGCAGATTTTGTGGCAAATTTTCTTCTTGTTCCCAGGGATGATAAAGATGCTTTTTTTCAGGTAACGGTACAATTACTATTTTCAGTGATAGATGGGTAGATGCTGTATTTCAGCCCATAAAAGTATTAGCATGTCATATAAACCCATTTACGTGTATCCAGATTGGCAGCATTTGGCTCCAAAAGAGAGCTGGAAGCACATGCAGTACCAGAGAGAGAACAATCAGAAATGGTAAGGAAAAGCTAGAAATTATCACAGGCAATCAGAAGTGAATTTTTTTGGCTCATGTAATGTGTGAATAGTAAAATTTAATGATAATATTAAAAGATGTGATTTCTAAGGAATGTCTTGTTTTTCATTAAATATAACGATTAGTTAAATGTTAAAATAATACTTCCTATTTGCTTGTGGATCGTGTTCCAAATGAAAAGCCTTGTACTTTTTACCTTTGTCTAGTTTTGGTTTGTTTTGTGGTTTTAGGAATTTTTAAATCTCTGCATTCAGTGTAATGAATATTTTATTGTTGTTTTGATGGAAAAATGTTCTCAAAGTCTGGAGAAGTTTGTTTCTCTCAAAATCATCTATTGCACTGTTACAGGATTCTTTTTGGTGGTGGCTTCTCCAAAAGTTTAAGGTATAAATTAGTTTCAAGCATTCTTAGATCTGTTATTATCAAACAAATAAGCTCCATGTTCTGCAAGTCCAAAAATGCAACTGTTTTACTGATTAAGCTCAACTGCATCAAGTGTAGGCCCAAGACTAACTTTTCATGTAACTTTAAAGAGCAGTAGTTGAACATATGAAGAACTAATTTAGTTAGCAGGTTTATACCACGAAGCTTAAAATAAACGTTTAGACCAAACTGACTGTTTATTTTACTTTGCTTACTTTGTGTAATGGTGCTGGGATTTATAAAAGGTATGAGTTTGGAATATTTAGGTTAAGAACATAAATCAAAAGTGTATGGATTCTGTTACCTCAGGTGATCACTATGTTCTTTATTAAGAAGAGAAGGAAAATATTCATGTGGCAGGAGACTGTGATTATGTACACTGGCTTTGATTCAGTACAGCACTTAGATTCCATCTTAATTGTTGGCTGATAGACTTAACATATGCTTCAAATAATGCGTGTTCTTAAGTGCTATTCCGAATCAGGAACTACTGCAATATACTGGAAAAAAAATATATCTGTTAATACATTTAGAAGAAAAACATATTGGAGTAAGAGGTGGAACTAATTTAAGAATATGTGTTTCAGTGGTATTCCTTTGTGTGGTCAATGCCTCACATCATAGGATAGATAAACATGAGCTTTAATAATGTCATGTATCCATATATTAGCACACAACTATATCTGAATTTACACTGATACCTTTTTCCTGATTTTTTTCCCCTTTGAAGCCTAACCAAGAAGATCAAGACCACTTATTTGACAGAATTGCAGATTTTGTGGCAAATTTTCTTCTTGTTCCCAGGGATGATAAAGATGCTTTTTTTCAGGTAACGTTACAATTACTATTTTCAGTGATAGATGGGTAGATGCTGTATTTCAGCCCATAAAAGTATTAGCATGTCATATAAACCCATTTACGTGTATCCAGATTGGCAGCATTTGGCTCCAAAAGAGAGCTGGAAGCACATGCAGGTAAGTACCAGAGAGAGAACAATCAGAAATGGTGAGGAAAAGCTAGAAATTATCACAGGCAATCAGAAGTGAATTTTTTTGGCTCATGTAATGTGTGAATAGTAAAATTTAATGATAATATTAAAAGATGTGATTTCTAAGGAATGTCTTGTTTTTCATTAAATATAACGATTAGTTAAATGTTAAAAAATAATACTTTATTCTACATCCTAATTTTAACCCAAAGTGACTTGTTCAAAGTACGTAATTTGCTGAAATCAGTATCCTCCAGTTCAGGCTTAACTGGGAACTTTGACTTTTATGTTGATTAAGCAAAGTTTTGGGAAATTAGTTAAATGTTAAAAAATAATACTTTATTCTACATCCTAATTTTAACCCAAAGTGACTTGTTCAAAGTACGTAATTTGCTGAAATCAGTATCCTCCAGTTCAGGCTTAACTGGGAACTTTGACTTTTATGTTGATTAAGCAAAGTTTTGGGAAGTGAATTCCCCTATTGTTGATACAGTTGCCATGTTTCACACCCCATGTTTCACACAAATAATAAAAGGTTGTACTATTTTTTTTTTTAGCAGAATGGCTTTGCCATTACTACAGTTCACTTGAATATTTTTACATTAACTAAACTAATTGCAATATGAAATCTCTTTTGTAGCCTTTTTAGATACAGTGTTATTCTTATTTTGGCAGGTATACCCTGATTGTTTGTCACAAGTCATTTATTGAGCTTTCTATGAAGCATTTTTCCTGAATCTATTAAATGTTTTGATGATGATTTTAAGGATGGATTGGTAGACAAGTTTTCAGTAGACATCAGGTACTGGTGGGGTTTTTTTTCCTTCTCCCTGAGGCACATTTTGTCCACACCACCAGGTCTGCATTTCAGTGAGAATCTATTGCTTTTTCCCCCAGTAATTATATACGTATATATACATGCATAGAAAATTCCGTACTAGGAATACTATTGTTAAAGCTGTCTTTCTCTGCTCAGTAACAATAATGATATCTTAATTCTGATAGTTGGTATATAAATATGGATAAAGAGTTTAAACCACTAGCCTGGAAAGGAGACAAAGAATCTGAGCTGACTATCCATGGCATTATTTCTCTTTAAGGAAAAATAAAACTGGATCTGACATTTTAAAATTTTTTTGGCAAAAGCATGTCAAACAAAGTATGTAACCTGCTTTAATTGTTCAGCTGTGCTGCCTAGATCTGTCTTGACAAACCTGTTTAGTGTCCCACAGCTGACACAGTGGAGGCATACTGCATTCTAATTATTTATTTGCGTAGCAAGGTTAGCTGGACTGGACCTCCCAGTGTTTAATAATGATAAAGTCTTACTGCAAATATGAGACATTTCTGACAACCTGCTTGCGTTTCTATCTTTCTATCATGATACATGTTAGATCCAGTTTTGGAACTGTTCCCATGTAAGATGACTGAGGATGAAGCTAGACTGGCATTTTTCATTTGGATTTAATGATATATTTTTCCCCATTAAATTAAGCTCTGATGTCACTCGGTGTTTAAAAGCTTATATGCCTCAGAGTTTGAGTGGATGGGAACTGGTAATTTCTGCAGAGTTGGTATCAGGATGATAATGAAAAGAAAGTATGGTGTTTTTAAGGTTATGTATAGGCTCTAATCCAGTCCAGTCATTGCCTTATTGCAGTGACTCTGTTCTGTAGTAGCTCTTTTAGCTGTAGAAGTACTTAACTATTGCAGAATTAGCCAGCGAGGATATAATCATACCCAGAGACATAACTTATAATTGAACTGATGAATGCAGATATCATTTCACTGCTTGCTTTGTGATACTGTGTAGGAGAGGTATGCTGGAAGAATCTATGGTAAGCACATAAATGCAGTCGGGGAGGAAGCCTTAAAATTCAAGCCCTAAGCAAAACTGTACGAATTCCTGGAAAAGCTGCTGAACATAGTGAGGATTTTTTTTTTTTGGTTAAAACAGAAGACTAGGAGATCTTCCCCAGTAACTATTTGTAGGTGGCCTTGAAGGTATCTCTCTATAAAAAATGGTCACTTCGTATAAATATTCTTACTGGATTCAGACTGTACCTGTCCTAGAAGTTTCTATTGGAAGTAGTATATATTACCATTAAATATCTGCATGTTTTAACAGTAACAGTTTATGATTTTTAGATTGTATATGTCATTTAATATCCATTCCAAAACTTAGATTTAGAGCAGATTGCTATCTTTAGTGCTCATTTATTTAGATTTCATGACAATGTGGATTTCATTATCTTGTATGTTGAGGCCGATTGACAAATGCAATAAAAATATGTTTTTGAAGTAGATATAAAATACAGAAATATTTTCTCAAAACCTTCCTCTGTGTCAGTCACTGTTTGTTGGGCAGAATTTTCTTTTTAGTTACAGACAGAGAAAATTGTATGTAGAAAAAGATCACCCTGAAAAATTTAATTTAAAGAAGGTTTGCATACTTCAAAGTTATGTATGCACCAAACTCCAAATGGGCCTTTAACTTGGAAGAGCTGGGTAAACCCACAGTATACTCTGTAATGTGTAACCACTATAAATAGATAATGGATAGAATTAACTGAAATTTAGTCAGGCCAGAAAAAAATCCCAAGAAACTAGGAGACCACTGCTATGGCATAGATTCTGCATCTGCATGAAACTTACAGTGTGGGAGCTGTGCAAAATTCTACTGGAATGAATATTGAAAACCACTGGATAAACTAAATTATGTATTGCTGCCAGAATAATTCACAACCTCAACAAAACATATGCAAATGTATTAAATTACCAGAATTGGAACAACCACAAAGTAAGGGTATTCACCCATGTGCAAAACCAAGCAGAAGCAGAAGGGAGATAGCAAAAACTGTCCTGGTTGACTTTAAGTATATGAATATAATTATTTCAGTTAACAGGCTTGGATCCCAAGCCTCAAGTTGACCATGGGCATAAAAATTTGCGCATTGGAGGCAGGAAAGAAAGCAATTTTCATTTCATTTGGGAAGAGTCATAGGGTGATTTTCAAAATTAACAAACATTTTTCTAAATTAAATTTTTGATTTTCAGGTCTAAAACCAAGGAAATGTGTATGGAAGAAATGAAATCTCGAAAGCTTTAAGGCTGCCACAGTAAATCATACCAGTAAAGATGCTACTGCTAACATACAAGCTAGTGCATCTGCCAGTTCTACAGCAGCCAGTAAGTCTTGTAAATATTTTTAAACACATAATGCACATTACTTTATGCATTTTGGAATGAAACTTATAGCACATTGCAAAATCTAATTGTCAACATCAATTAGTAGTAATATTTTCAGTTTGTTTTGCACAAAATCAAAATGTTATAGCAATTAAAAATGAATGGTGCATTTTGATCAGCTCTAAACATATGTCCTCCCAATATACTGATACTTCCATTTAATTAAGCTGTAAACAATATTACAAGGTATTTAAAGAAGCTGCTGATACTCCATCTAGTAAAATCTGATGGTTTCGATTTGTCAGTTCCTCTAATACTAATGGCAGCTACTCTTTTTCCTACTCCTTTCTCTGGCACCTGGCTCCCATTTTCAGTATGTCTTGCATTCTAGCCCCTAACTTCTACCCCTTTGTTTTCCCTGTCCTGGTGGATCAGATCTTTGACTTTTATTCTTTCATACTAGCCTGTGGTTCTTTCTCATTGCTGCTATTTTAACATCTTTTCTCAAGCTTTTTGTGCTGATTTTGCCTCTAGCTTGCTCCCTTTCTGAATGTTATCCAACGCTTAGTTTCTTCAAGCTAGCCAGCTGCTTCTCTCTTCCCCCTGCCTGAAATAACTGTTCTCCTTCTAACAATTACAGCCATCATTTTATGTTACCAATCTTCTCCCCAACCATAACCAAACAACTTTTCCCATCCTTGCCTTTTTTTCCCCCCATCCTTTTTTCTGTGGGCTCGTCTGCTTTTTCTGGATTTAGATCATTCCCCAGTCACCAAGGTAGGAAAACCTTGGTTTTGTTGCAAAATAATTCAGAGGAAAATATCTGGGAGAAAACTGATAAATTTGGGTGTCATTTAAGGCAGTGAAGTCTGCGAGTCTTTGGTTTTCCGTTTTCTCATGTATAATTGGCTATATAAAATAGGGATATTCATTGCCAATCTTAAAGATAAGCTGAAGAATGATTTTAGAAATTATTTAGTAATGGAATCTACCTGAATGGAAAAAGGTATCTCTGTGCAAATTTTCAAGGCTACTCACCCCGCTCTGTTGGTGACAGTCTTGCCACTCCCCAGCCCCTACTGTTTTCTGACATGTTTTCTCTACAGTTATGTCAAATGCTTAGGAAAAGATAGAGGGTTGTCTCTTGTATCTGTTAAGGAGAGAAGGTTTGGAACATGCTGTACTCAGGAAATCCTGAATTAGTGAAGTACTGCAGACATGTCAGAGGAAGGGAAGTGTTCTGGCGTGTGCCATGATTCCCACAAAGCTTTCTCTTGTAATGTAGATGTAAGAGAACTGCGTGGGTTTTTCCCAGTGGAACAGGCTATCTAAGCAAAGAGGAGAGTTGCTCTTGAGACCTAGCTGAAGGATTTGGTCTCTACAAATGAATACAGCTTTGTGGAATCTTTGTATGGATTGGCTATGCACATCTGTGGCTTAATAAAGTGAACTATCTTACTGTCATTATGTATTACCTGTTAGCTTACCTGAATATTTTTCCTTTTTTTACTTTAGTATTTCTTTTCAAGTACAATTATAAAAATTAAATGTGGTTTCTTTAAAGTTAAAAGTCAGTGTTCCTTATCAAGTAACAGTCTTGAAAGAAAATTCTTGTTTACAGAATCAATTTTTTGTGTGTTTCTCCGTTTGCAGTTCAGTTTTTAGAAACAGAAATGATCTATGTTTTTGAACAGAGGAACATTTGGGTTTAAAAAATAATATGCTTTTACAAAACCTAAAACCAGTGGAAACGTTTGCATGATTTTTATATATTCCAATGGTTTTGTTCTGGTATAGTCATATTTCCTTTTGGATCTTGGTCATTGTAGTACTTTACTAGTATATGAAAACAAGAATATGAAACCGAGTAGAAAGTGATTATTTGTGAAGCAGGTTCAGTGAATCATCTCAGCTATTGATTATAATAACACTTCTCACCTAACTGAGTCTGTTTTAATGACAGTAATTTCTGAAGTCACAGAAGCTCGTTATCTTGACATTTCTCTCCAAGTTATAACGACTTGTTTTTTTCTATGACAATAAAATAAAAGGGAGAAGCCTTACTATTTTAGCTCTTCTGTTAATATCCTATTCTGTGATCTACCTTACTGCTTTAGGCTTGCAGGACACTCACAGTTTTGTTCAATAATCGCTTGTTCTCTTTTTATGACCACTGAGAAGTTAGTTGCTTGTCCAGATCCACTTTGGTGCCTAGTTTTCGGTGAAATCAATAGGAATAGGGTGTATAGGCAAGTTAGCTGTCATATTAACATGTCGTGTCTTACACAAGAATTGGGTGTCCATGGTTTCCAGATGTTCCCTTTCCTCTAAAGGTCTCATCCGGTGTTCCTGTACTGTGCAATAATATCACGGCAACTCATATAGACATGAACAAGCTAACCTTGTTAGTCAGCTTGAATGAGATAGATAACAGTCTAACTATGACAGTATGCTGTCCTGTGTAGCAGCAGAAGTCACTATGAGTGTGGGTAGAAACAGCTACCTCTCCACTGCTGACCTGTGCCCTGTTGTGATTAGTCTGGTAGTTTAAAGCTAGTCTGGGTGCATGTTTAATGTTTTAGCAGCACGTACCAGACTTGAACTTCTTTTTCTTTCTTATCAAATAGGACATTGAAAGTGGCTTGCTTAAAGTTATGTAAGAAATCTGTAGCAGAACCAGGTTACAAAGGCCAGTAGGTGAACCATGAACACTCAGCAGTCACTAGCCGATGACTTGGTTCTTGTCCATCACAACTGGTGCTGTCCAAGGTAATAGTAAATTGTGTTTATGTTTAGACAGCCAGTTGTAATTGTAAAGGGAGTCGGTCCTGAATTCTGATTAAAGTTATACCACATAACATTATTATTAAAAAAACATTTCTAGTGGTAATAAAGATATCACTGAATTAGTTGGAAGAATAGCGGGGTGATTCTTCCCCTCTACTCAGTACTGGTGATGACACACCTGGAGTACTGTGTTCAGTTCTGGGCTCCTTAGTTCAAGAGAGACATAGACATACTGGAGAGAGTCCAATGAAGGGCCACGAAGACGATTAAGGGACTGGTGCATCTCTCCCGTGAGGAAAGGCTGAGAGAGCTGGGACTGTTTAGCCTGGAGAAGAGGAGGTTCAGGGGGGATCTTATCAATGTATATAAATACCTGAAGGCAGGGTGCAAAGAGGACTGAGCCAGGCTCTTTCCAGTGGTGCTCAGTGACAGGACAAGAGGCAATGGGCACAAACTGAAAGAAGGAGGTTCCATCTGAACATCAGGAAACACTTTTTTACTGTAAGGGTGACTGAGCACTGGCACAGGTTGCACAGAGAGGTTGTGAAGTCTCTCTCCTTGGAGATATTAAAAAAACACCTGGACATGGTCTAGGGCAACTGGCTCCAGGTGGCCCTGCTTGAGCAGGGGGGTTGGACCAGATGACCTCCAGAGGTCCTTCCAACCTCAGCCATTCTGTGATTCTGTGAATAAAGTGAGACAGAGATTCTTTTAAATAAAGGTGGGACAATGAATCATCTTCGGTTGGGGTTCTTCCCTTCGGTAGGAGGGATATAGGCTAGAAGTAGTGCCTCTGCTGCTGTATAAAACCAGAAATATATAAATAAGACATTACCTAAGGATTTGCATGAGTTGTTCAGTTAACATCACACCACAGATATGTCAGTCCATTGTTGGCACATGGTCGGAAAACAGAGGTGCAAGCCAATGAAGACTGGTCTGTAGAATGAGTTGTTTTCAGTGTTTACTTTGCAAAGTTAGAAAAAGATTTTTTTGTGTTTTAGTCTTACAAAATTCTGAACACCCAAGTGACACAAATGCTTCCTAATTTCACAGACTCTGTTAGCTCCAGAAAGAGCTTATCTGCAGAGAACTGAGCCCTTAAAATTGACCAGCCTGACTCCTCAAAGATGGGGAAACTGTTGATATATGTGAAGTAAACTTGTCATAAGCTTCAAAAAGCTATCTGGGTACTAGGTAAGGCGAATACCTACTTTCATAATGTAGCTGAGCACACCAGATATCTACTTCCTATTGAAATCCGTTGAACTTTGGCAGCCTACTTAACCTGACACCTCCAAGTTCTCACTAGGTACCAATATCCACCTTTTAGGTACCTGGTATCCTTTAAGATCTGTACTTCATTGAAGAACGCTCAGTGTTCAGATCTTTAACCATCTTCGCTAAAACACTATTTTAGAAATGATCTTAAAAGTAAGGATTCTTATTGATATTGGACTTCAGTCTGAAAAAACTGCAACCTTTATGTGACAAGTTTATGCATCTTCATTCGAATTCCTCTCCTTTTCTGGTTAGCACTGAAGGAAAATAGTTTATTCTCATGAGGAAGTAATTTCCTCTGAAATGAGTTCTTTTTTTTCCCCCTCTGTGTTAAGAGTCAATCTTTTCAAGTGCCAGGCCTCTAAGTAAAAGAGTTTTCTTAATGAAAAAAACAATCTTGGTAAGTGAGGATTTGCCTTCCAAACAGAATTGAAGAAAATCTCCCTTTTTAGGTCTGGAATGTAACGAGTTATAGAATTTCAGTGTCTGGAATGCTTGAGATTTACAAGCTAGCTTTCCTCAGCCAGGTATTATGAAGTTATTTACAGAACTCAGGTTTTAACACTTGGTAGTTTTAATACTATATGAATTTTATTTTTTTGCAAATTTTTATAATTAAATTCTGCAGTTGTATTTTATGTAAGACTATTAATTAAAATGTATGGTGTTAAAAAGCTTTTTTAGTAATTTTGCTGTGTGAATATCATTAAAGTTAATATAAATGTTATGTTAAAAACCTCATGCAACTCCTTGAATATTTTCCCATCTGAGTTTCTGCTTTAAAGACAGTACTAATCTTCAAAATTATTCTACTAACAGCACAGAGAAGTTAGCTTTTTTTCTGCTAATAAATTCACCTTTTCCCCTGTTTTAAGTAAACATGTGATTTAAATAACTGTTACCTTTTAAAACTCATCCAGTGATGTAAACAGTTGAATTTCTTTTTTTTGGTTATGAAATGTTAGTTTAAAAAAAAGTATAATATTAGTTCTAAGTATGGTTGTCAACTCTCCTGATGACTGTTTCCCTAATTTGGGGGAAATAATCTAACCTGTCACTTTCATTTTCTACATATGTTAAATGTTATGAAATTATTATGTTTTTTAGAAAGTTAGTATTGAGGAGTTAGATTGCATGGGCTTATGAAGTTAATTTAGACTACTCGGATACTGGTCGTTGAGTGCAGTGAAATACCGTTGTTCTCTTATTACTTTATTGAGTTTAAGTTAACTTACATTCAAAAAGAATATACATTGTTTCTTAAAAAAGTAATTTAAAATGCAGACAAGTGTATTTTAATTATTACTCATCTAATCATTTAGTCATCTGATTATTACAGATGCTATGCACAGTGGTGTTTTAAAGTACTTGGAACAGAACTAGAAGTGAGACCATATTGTACCATACCATGTCTTTTAAAGGTCATGGAAATTGTCCGATTGTCATTTTTTTATTGTGTTATGGAATGTATTTACACCATTTTGCATACCTTTAATGACATATAAGTTATTATAGATAAACTATGAGGCAAATGTGTGATTATCCCCCGAACATGGAAAATGTGTTTTGTGTAGTTGTTCAAAGAGGTTGAACTTGACTCTAAATGGCTGTTTTAAGAAAAATAACTTTCATATGGAATCACAGACTCATTTGGGCTGGAAGCGTGCTGCAGGTCTCTTGTCCAATCTCCTGCTCAAAGTAGGGCCCACACTGATTTCAGACTAACTTGCTTAGGGCTTTGTCCAGTCAGGTCTTGAAAACCTGCAAGAATGGAGATTCTGCAGTCTTTTACGAGATTCCCCAGATGAGATTAGCTCATTTCTGTGTCACAGAGTATTTATCAGCACTAACACAAAAGATAAATAAGTAAGTAGAACCTTGTTAATTAAATTTAAAGAGCCCGCGTAATGGAGTAGTTTCTGGGAAATGTGAATGGTTGTTGAAGGTGGCTAAATAGAATGGCTATTTAAACTGCAGGCGCTTATATTTCAACCACAGTCTATTTACACTTTGTAGTATCTGTGGTAAACAAAGAAAAAAGCAAGATGAAAGCCAACGCATCTGAAGGAAAAACAAAGAAATTACACTTGAGAGTGGCTTTTACAGCCCACTTTGTTTGGATTTTCTTGAACCTTTAGTATTATAGAGGTCATTAATGAGCCAAATCCAGACAGGTATATGTGTTTCTTTTCATACAGACCTGTTTTCCTCCCACATGGTATATTGCATGATTGATGTTAAGATTGGATTGTGGTGTAATTGATATAAAAGGCTTTTGTGAGGATTTCTGACATCTATTTGAATAATACCTGTTAAAAGCTAACAGATTCTTTTTTTTGTCCTTATCTTTTAACAATTTGCTACTGTAGATCATCACTATAAATTTTCTGATTATTATTCTCTGTTTTTAGCACTAAACTGATTTTTTTTTGGAGACAGCTGAAAAGAAATATATTTTATTGCAGAAGAGATTTTCTAAGTTTCTAAGTTTGAAAATTGCTCAACTGGGTTGTTCTGATCTTGCTTTTCTGTTCACCTTTTCCATTATGTACTGGAATAGAACAACCCAGGATATGTTCTAACCTTTAAGTCTGTTTGACTATTAAAATGCCAGAAGAAATGAAAGAGAAAGCATAAAAGGAAGGCAAAATACTGATTTTTCTCAAATACAGTCCTTCCTCTGCTAAGTCAACACAAGGAAGGTATTGCAACATGTAAGGCCGTATGACTGTGCTGCTGAAGGATTGTATCATTTGCACTCGGGTGTTTTTTTGTGAACCATTCACTCATAGGATGCATTTCAGATATGACAGCTGTAAAACATAAAGCAGCCTTGGCTTACCTGATAATGATGGTAATATAGTGATCCGTTAGATAAAGCATATAGCAGTAAGGGCTAATTACCATTGGGATTCAGGAATTCCTGTATTCTTAAATTACATAATGTAAAATTACAAGAGCTTGTCTGTACCTGCATTTAATTTAAGCTTTTTTTGGCACATATACTCATCTATTAATGTGCATATTCACATTTTAATTCAAACTTCAGTAAAACTTCTAACCACAAACAATCTTAATGAGATTTTGTTCTTTTAATTTTTATTTCAAAGCTTCAACTAACCTAGTTTAGATCTAGAAACTTTTGCTGGTATGTTAATGTTGATCATGAGCGTGAACTCTGTTGCGGTGAACGCTGTTGCGGTGTTTATATATTCACAGAAGGTAGTGCAGACAGTTATCAGCAAAAAAAGTCTCTTTGATAGTACAGTCTATTGTGTTCAGTGAACAAGTAATTGATAAACTAGCAAAAGCACAGTGAAGGTTTACTGATATAGCTGTATTGACAAATTTTTCTGCATAGACACGTTTATAGCTACACTTTGATGTTTGATATTAGCAAGTCAAAACTCATAAATTATTTCCAAATTATAGTATTTGTTAAACAAGTATTTTTTTAAAAAAGGAATATTTGTTAAAGGGAATTGTTGCCGTTTTCTGAGAGTGCTGTTACAAAGAAAGTGTCTCATGTAGGGAAAAATGGTTGACTCCAGACACTTGTATTTGTTATGAAAAGTAGAGCATTTAAGACCATTAGTAATTAACTTGACTCCATCCCAGTCATCTAGCAACTGTTTTAGCTAATTTTTTGGTGATCTTTATCTAAGCGCAATTGTCACAATACGGAGAAAACTTGTAGGCAAACTGAACAGAATGAAATGATATAATGCATTAGTCATGTAGGGCTCAGTTGAACACTTTAATAGCTAGAAAATTAAGAGGTCTTTTCTTCATCAGGTCACATTGATTTTGGCTGAAGTTTCAAACTAGTCATATAGGTTCTTACATATTTCTCTATCTGTAAGTATAGGTTCTACCATCTGAGGATTAATTCCAGTACCTGCTGGAGCTGTAGCCTTCTTTTACCTGGTGAAACTCTGAGCATGCTGTTAAATTCAATTAGCAAGAGTATGTGGCAAAGATTTTTTACATTTTTGTATTGTTTCTTTTGAGATGTCCATTGTGCGATTTGCTGCAGGCTGTCATTTTTGTCTGCCATCCAATGTATGTTGGCAAGAGGGCTGTGTACTAGTCTTTGTGTCTGGTCACAGAAAAAAATGCATGCATCTCAGCCAGACCATTTTGTTATTCCTTTAGAATTAAAAGCATATGAAACAGATGCAGCTTAATAAGTATTTTTTTTTTTTTATAAATAACATTTAAATAACTTAGAACAATAAAGTTCAAATACAACTTAAAATAAAGTTTAATGCTGTAACAACAGAAAAAGCATGTATAAGGATGGAAAAACAATATTGAAAGCTGTATGCCCTAACAGGAATTATACAAAAGATAGGATATGTTACATAAAAAACCTTAATATGTCTGAATTTTTGCTTCATCGTTATATAAAATGTTAATTTGTGAGAAGTGAGATGACGTACATTATTTATTCCTATTCTTATTTTACATACACTATTTGAAACATCTTTTAGAGCAGCATTAGGTATTTGTTTCATTAATAGATAGGAACATTTTGTAGTAGAGTAAACTTAATTTTTCCAAACTAACTCTTTTATCTGAATACAACAATAAACATTTACAAGATTATATATTTTTTTTTCTGATCATATAGTTTATGTATAGGATATCAGTTTCTTGGGGAAGTATTTAAAATACTGCTCAGCCTCCACATTTACTATTGACTTGATAATCTGACAACTCATTCCAGCAGCCTTAAAGTCTGACATATTTTACACAAC